TAGAATCTATTAAGTGGATAGTAAATTTACAAGCCCACATAGAAATAATATCTCAAGATATTAAAAACTATAAAATAATTTAGAAAATATTTACAAATTTGATTTTAATGATTATTTTTTATGTAAAATATATATATATATATATATATATATATATATATATATATATATATATATATATATATTATGTCGGTTTGGTTTAGATTCGGTTTGACTTAATTTTTATTAATACCAAACCAAACCAAAAGTGTTCGATTTTTTATTTTTCAACACCAAACCAACCAAACCAAACCACAAGTTAGTTTTTTTCTTCGGTTTGACTTGGTTCGTCGGTTCGGTTTGGCTTGACGGTTTGGCTTGTACACTCCTACTTGTGAGCATATCAACGGGGTCATATAAGGATGGTTCATTATATTTTGTGATTTTAGCTTCCCATAATTCTTCCTTTCTTTGGATGATTTCAATGCTTATTTGTTTGGATGCTCCGTTCAACAGTTTGTTGTGGATATTAGGAATCGGTCGCGGGAGTGGGAGAGGCGGAAGGCCCATTAGCAATTAATTTTTTCATGCTTAGGTATTGGGCTCGGTCTAATAAGAATGAAAAAGCGAAAAACAAAACAAGAGCATGAAGTAGATCTTTCTTCTATTTAGTCATCTTTTATTTTCTTTTATAGTATTCGTTAGGAGCATGTTCTAGGCTGACCACACTCGGGTAGACAAATCTTAGGTTTTCTTTAGTTTATTTTTATTTGAGGCGAGAGGTCGTTTCTCTTAGTTTATTATCCAGGGAATGCCCTGCGAAATTTGTATATATTTTATCCGGGGTATGCCCCGAAGTATTTGTATTTGGAGGTCGAAAGTAGAACTCTTAGTACATTTATTCTTATATTCATTTTTCATTTTTCTTTTATTAGGTGGGGACTACCTCGAGCCTCTTATGTGTTTATTTCTCTTTTCTGTGTTTATTTTTACCTCAATTTGAATATTTTAAAAGCCAACTAGATCGAGTATGCAACCTTGACTTTCACGGGACTTGGGGAGTGCCTAACACCTTCTCCCCGAGTTAAATGAACCCCCTTACCTTGAACTCTGGTGCAGACTTAGTTTTGGAGTCCAAAGTGTTTTAAAAGGAAAAATCATTAAAAATAAACGGTGACCTGGCACACCGAAACCAATGTCATTCTGAAAAATACTTTTGAACACAGTTTTGTCATTTTTCATAATTGAAATCCCTTTTGAGCTTCAATATCACTTTTATTATTTAAGAGGGTTAGTGAGGTTAAAAAAGAGGTGTGACAAGGATATCAAACCCCGTACTTCATTTAACAATGAAATGTCAACTTTAATCGACTCCCAGCCTAGCTAGACCCGGTGAAAACAATCAGAACGCTAATTGAGAAATATAAAAAAATATTGAATACTAGGGTAATATACTGTTTAAGTTTCTTTTTTCATTTTCCCTATATATGTATACTATTTATATTAGTCTACTCTGTAAACTATCTATCTGTATACGGTAGAAATCGGGGCTACCCGATTTCACTATTTGATCGAAACAAGGACGTTGCATCGAAGTGCTAAGGCATCGAGTTCGAGATCAATGTTGGTACTAATCAAAGCCAGGGGAGTTAGACTTCGAGTTACATCGGGAATAGATTATTAACGGAAAGAGCAAGATATCCGTGATTGGTCGAGGATCGTGGCGTGAATCTCGGAACCGACAGAACCTCTGACGGTTATTGATACCAATCATGGATTTTACTTCCGAAATTAGAGTTATACCTTATTTAGGATTCCTCTACTATATAAAGAGTAATCCTGTTCATTTGTAGGGGGAGGCGGACGAAGAAATAATAATACACTGCTCTTTTACTTACTTATAACTTACTATTATTCTTATTGTTCTTAACGCTTGATCTCGAGCCTGTTCCAATCAAGGACGATAGCCTGCAACAACACCGGTTTAATTCATCTTAATCATTTAGTTCATTTATTTATCTAGTCATTTATCAATTGGTGTTGAATCAGATCATGTATCCTTATAACCACATTATAAGTTTAATTGTTACTCGTATTTCAAAGTAAATAATTTGGCACACTATGGGGCTAAGGATAATAGTGATTGTTCAATGATAATTCTGGTATAACACACTACTTTACACTGTTTCTTGTCAAGAATTTTGTTTTCAGGTTGAATCATGTCAAACTCACAAAACGCATCAACACACGGCGACAACGGTCTCGAACTCCATGGAGAAAACGAGAATGTTATCACCTCAGGAGTCGAGGTGCCACATGCTGACCTCGGAGGAGCACCGCCCGTCAACCTGGTTGATGTCAGTACTCATGTTGCTTTGAACGTGGATTTAGGTGCGGACCCCGAAGGAAGCGTACGCAGAGAGGGTCGAACTGGAGGTCGAGGTACATAGGGCAGAGGAGACGAAGGAGTCAGTCTCTAAGTAATATTTGAAATGCTACAAGCCCAACAAAATGCCATTGCCCAGTTGCAAAATCAGCACGGGGCACCAAATAGGGTCGAACAAGAGGTTACTCGCCGTACCGAGCCAGTGCCTGAGAGATCGGGCAATAATACTTCAACAACTGATCCTGTTATAATGAGGATGCTTGAGGAGCTTACTAAGAGAATAGAATCGGGAGAAAAGAAAATCGAGACCAACGACAAGAAGGTGGAAACTTACAACTCCCGAGTCGATCAAATACCGGGGGCACCACAAATCGTAAAAGGAATGGATTCTAAAAAGTTCGTACAAAAATCGTTCCCTCCGAGTGCGGCTCCGAAGCCCATCCCAAAGAAGTTGCGTATGCCCGATATACCTAAATACAATAGAACCTCTGACCCAAATGAGCACGTTACTTCTTACACGTGCGCAATAAAGGGAAACGACTTGGAAGATGATGAAATCGAGTCTGTACTGTTGAAGAAATTCGGGGAGACTCTATCTAAGGGTGCCTTAATATGGTATCATAACTTACTCCCTAATCTACTAATCCGTTTGCAATGCTTGCAGATTGTTTTGTAAAGGCACACGCCTGAGCCATTAAAATTGCAACAAGAAAGTCGGACCTTTTCAAGGTAAGACAGACAAATAACGGGATGCTCAGAGAATTCGTATCTCGATTCCAAGCGGAAAGAATGGATTCGCCTCCGGTCACAGATGACTGCGCTGTTCAAGCTTTCACTCAAGGTCTCAACACTTGGAGTTCCATAGCTTCACAACAGTTAAAGCAAAGTTTAATCGAGTATCTGGCCCTCACTTGGGCCGAAGTACTTAATCGGTATCAGTTGAAGATTAAGGTCGAGGATGATCAACTGGGAACTCCTTCGGAGTCTGTTTATCCTAGCAGGCCCATGGATAGGGTCAAAACGGATATCGATCGAAAGCCGAGGTCGAATAGAGATCGATATCAACCGTACAACGGAGACCATAGAGGCAGCGGATCTGGGCAAAGCTTCGCATGAAATGAGAGGAGAAATGATCGAGGTCAAAATTCACGGGGGCTTGATGCCGAGGAAGATCACGTTAAATATCCAAAATCCGAATAAAGGTACAACCCCATTCCAATCCTTTCTATTTTTTCAACTAACACTTGTAGGCTATCGACAAGGATCAGCATGAAGCTTTGGATCTTAAAGCACGCGTTGCAATCTTTTTCCGTTAGACCGATTTTTGTCCCAAATGGGTTTTTCCAGCGAGGTTTTTAATGAGGCAACCATTGTTCGTGCTATCTTAGAGCAATTCAACAGTATCCGACGCTCCTTACAATAAGCCTCGAGTACTGGGGGGCATTACCCTCGAATGTCTACTTTGTTGCAAGGAAATCACTTCGTGACACCGGGGTCTCGATAGGAAAATGTTGTAAGGGTCAAACGGTCAGATGAATCGTGCTCGTATAGGTTACTTCGACCCTAACATCAAACATGCACCCATGTAAAATCATTTATTAAGAGAAGTATTTTCCCTTGCCGGTATCCCCTACCTTTAGAAAAATTCCTATTTTATACTCTTGATATATTGTGTAAACAGGCTTAAGGGCCGACCATAACGAAAATCGAACTACTAACCTTTCCAGACCATAAGACCTTAAAGGCGACCCTCGATTTCACAGGCCATGGCCACCCTACTCGGGGACTAACACTTCGGGCAAGCTTGAAGTAAAACGGAAAATAAGCCCAAAGAGCAAGTTCCGAACTAAAGAGGCTACGACCAAATTAACGCGGATCGGAGACGTCCGAAAAGCGTAACAAATACAAAAGCCCACGGGCTATCTTAACCCAAGTTCGAGTAAACTCTCACTCGGGACTATCTATAAAGCCTAAGGTCTAATTTTACTTCAAGTTCGAGCAAATCCTCACTCGATCATAAAAGCCCAAGGGCTACCTTAATCCGAGTTCGAGCAAACTCTCACTCCGGGACTATCTATAATAGGGGAGTTCAAAATCGAACCGAAATCGAAAACCGAACCAAAACCAAATCTTAATGGCTTATTGGTATCGGGTTAACGATTTAACGGACGGGGAACGTATTGAAATTTTTTTATTAACAGCTTATCAGTTTGGGGGCGGATTATTCAATTTTTTTAACGGATAATCCGTTAACCCGTTAAGAATATATATATA